CCTTAGATGGTCAAAAAATTCCCTTTGATTAATTCGGCTTTTTATTCGTAAACCAATAAGTCAAAATACATACATTTTACAGAAGAACCATTTTAGTGATTTGTTTAACACTGTCCCATATATGGGAGTTTTATAATTTTTATTATAGAAATCAGTATTCCAATCAAAATATGTTTATTTATACATTCTCAAAAATAAATTATGTTTTAGGAAAAAAAGAATTCAAAATTTTCGAAAAAAAAGAGTTATATAACTATTCAAATATTCTTGTTGTAATGTTCAAAATATAGTCAAATGTCTTATATAGATATCTTTAAAATTAAATTTTTAATTAAATACATTTTTTGTTATTTTGAATTTTTTTCTAAAAAATAAATTATTTTTGAAAATGTATACATTCTTTATTGTAAATTCTGATTTCTTCAATAAAGGTCATTAAAAGTTTTATGCTAAATGTTTTTTTTTTACTTAAATTCAAAAAAATCGTAAAACTACCATCTTTGGTGGTTGTTCAACCCTCTTGAGGGACATGAAGGAGTTAGGCAATCCTAATAAAATTTTGGCTAATTTTTTTTCTTGTGGTACTAAAAAAATGGACGGGTATTTGGCCCACAATTTCAAAATATTAAAAATAAGGACCACCCTAAAATATATTTAATATATTTTACTAAATCTTATATATAATTTATTGCAATTCTAGAATGAAATTTTTAAAATAATTCCCGATTTTCAATCTTTATAACTAATAATTATAAATTAATAATAATATTAAAAATAAGTAAAGTAAAAACAAAATTATTAAATGGTTAATACTCGTAAATAAATAAATGAGTTTTCTGGAGTACTATAATATATATTATACAATTTAGATTTAAAAATGCATTATCAGTTATATCACAATTATGATGTAAAATGCTCCTGAATATAAAAATTTAAATGAAGGAATTCATAGAAAAAATTATACAAATTGGTCATTTTTTTATTGAAATAATTTATTTTTATAGAGAGATAATTTAAAATGAGTTATTATTAGAAATAGATATATTAAGAAATATCAATCATTTGGTTAATATTTATTATCTAAAATTTATTAAAATAAGATTATATTTTTACAATTAATTTGTACATTAAAAATATTATTGATATTATTTTTCTTTATTTCATTGTGTAATTCATGTAAATTCCATTTAAGGTATTTAATATTTCCACGTCTGTATTTATATCAAGACTTGTATTATAGTTATTTTCTAAAACAGGTTTAGCAAAAGTTGAATTAAGAGCAGTTTTTTTAATTTTGTCAGAAATGGGTTCTTTATATTTTATTTTAACATTTCTATTTGTCATACCTATATAACATTTATTACAGTTACATTTAAGTTTAAACATTATATACCAGCATTATCAAAAGAAGGAGGAAATTTTGTGAATTTTTTAGTTCTATTTTTTAAATGTTTGAATAAATTAGTCTTAAAAGCAAATTTTACATTACCTGTATTATTGTTCAGAATTTTAGAGAATTTGTTAGATATATTATTTGATATTTCATACTAAAATAGTTTACAACATTATTAGATGAGTTGTGTTTTCTTTTTTTCTTTAATACGTTTATGAATTATTTCAATAGTATTTAAATTGAAATTTTTTATATACATGTTATAGTTAATATTGAGCGCCTGTTGATAATTATGTTTATTTAATGGAACTGTTTAAGCCTATAGAATATTGAATTAAAAAGCTGTCCTAGGATAGATGCAGCCACTATTGTAAGTGAGAAATTGGGAAGGTAAAAACAGAAGGGAATTTAATGTATATAATGTAAGCAATGATAAACCATTGTTAACATAAAGATGACTCTGAGCAGAGGTCAGTTGACAGTAATGCTTTGTTAACAATATATATATATATATGTGTCATATAATGGTAAAATAATAAAATAAGCATTTTATATTTTTTTTAATAATATTTGTTTAATAATTTAATATTGTACTGTTTTCCCATATTTTATCTAAGTTTTTCACATTTGCAGGGAAAACTCTTGGAAAAATAAAAAAATGACCGCTTTAAAGTACCTCCCTAGTGAAATTTTCTTTTAGAATCATTACCATCATTAAATGTTGGAACAAAATTGCTGGTAGAAGATCTGTTTACAGGGAAAAAGGAATTTTTAAACAAATACCTACATTTAGTACATTTTCTCATTTTCCTGAGAAAAAAAAGAAAAATGTATAAAATTCATTGCAGTAGGAGCTACTTGTTAGGAATACTTTGGGACCAAGGTAAAACGTGTCAATTAACCAATTGTTCCTAATAAAAGATTGGTTTTAATATTTGATTGATTTAATACAATTATCCATGTTCCTAATAAGTGACTTTCATTGTATTTTCAAATCCTAAATATTACATCCTTTCAAAACATGTACAACCAAATTCTGCTCAGAATCATTTTTTATTAGCAATTACTATATCTTTGCATACAGATATATTTGAAATTTTCCCTCTATTTTGTTAATTTCTCACCTAAAACAGTAGCCCACACATCATGTGATGTATGTCCAGTTGGTTTTTTTTTATTCAGTTTAATTTTTTTTTATGACTAGTGTGTTTTTCATCAGCTTCACTAGACAGAGTTGTTCATCCAATGAGAAAACTTAAAATTGGATGAACAGGTTATCAAAAGAAACTGAAAACCCCCTAGACATAATCTTAACTGAAAAAACTGAATGAGTGGACCGCATTAAACAATTCACATACTGGATGTAGATGATGCTGCTACCTTATGCATAAGTGAAATGTTGTGCCAACTATGTACTGTGACTGAGGCCATCCATCCATGCTGAATATCCCATGAAAATAATTTAATGACGAATTTGAAGATTTGTTTATTGATTGGTCAGCATCTATAATGTAGATAAAAAGTCTCAACATTAAATAATTATAGTCAATTACCAAAGAAAACTTGAATTCGTCATATTTATCATAATTTCAGTATTTTTTCTTATTATTTTGTTTTGTTGACACAGTATTATTAATATTAATTGTGTCTAATTTTTATTTTTATTGTATTCTTTTTCAGTCATACAAATAAATACACTTTTTTGTACAAGTTTAATTGTTAGCATAATTTATTTTTATAATTAGTGTTTAATTTTAATTTATTAACTCAAGTGGCAATTTTATGTTTTTTTTTTTTTTTTAAATTATATTTAGTGTTCATTGGTTTTTGATTTGTGTTATATCTGGTAAGTATCCATACACATATACTTACTTTTTAAAATTAATTAACATGAAATATTTGTTCAAAATAAAGTTTTAGACAAAAGAATAGTTATTAAAATATAGTTAACATTTATATATTTTTTACTGTTATGTTTATATACATGCATATTAGCTTGTTCAAAATGTTATCTGTTTAAAATAATGTTTTCAGCTTACATTTATATTATTATGTGTGCTGACTATATAATGTATGATACAATTTTAATATTAATTAATCAGTTCTCTATCAGCTAGACCAGGTTCATAACTATTAACCTATATCCTCTACACAAAACAATAATAATATAGTTGAAAATAAAACATATTATTTTAGACAAAAAAAACTAATGTTTGTAATTTTGTAATTATTAAGTTTATAAGCTCAAGAATGAATTCCAATAATAATATAAATGACATTATTCAATATATTAGAACACAGTAAACAGACTTAAAGTTTTGAAATTTATCTGTATCAGACAATTATGTAATTAATATTTGCATCAACATTTTCAAATAGAATGATACTACCACCAACTCATATAATATAAGTAGAGAATATTTAAATTGCAAACATATCATTAGTTCTTAATTGCAATAATAAAATGGAAAAAATAAGATACCAATGAAATAATTAAAAAGGATAAACATGCATTTAATAAATTATAAATAGTATGTACAGTACTGTCCATGTAAATATATGTGTGTAAGGGTAGGGTGGCCCTTCGTCATATAGGTGATTTTTTTTTATAACATTTTTTTCAGTCTTACCCCCTAAATTGGTTTAAATATGTATATAAATGAAGTATACAAAATNAACTTTTGTTCTATATAGTTTTTTGATTAACGTAATATTTATTAATATAACTGATTATGAAACAATGAAACATGCAAGCTTTTGAAAAACATAACAACTAAATAATATTATTACAAAATGACATTTATATTTTAAAGTATATAAATAAAAATAATTATAATGGTTTTATAACTGTGCTTTTTAAACTGTTCGGGTATTTACGGCGATAATCTTCGACAACTTGAAGCACGTATTGTTTTTGATCTTCATTTTTTGTTAAGACCATATTATACTCCTCCATGAGCTTTACCCCTCTTTCTGCCGTATCCTTTGTAACACGAAATGTATTTACAATTTCAAGGCCTTATGAAAATCTTCATTTTTATCCCACATTGTTGCTCCAAGAATGATGTTGCTATTCCAAATCGCGAAAAAAATGAAGTAGATTCTTTATAAATAAAATCATTTATTTCTTTCTTCATGAATTGATCTACTTCATTTAGCGTTTATTGATTTCAGAAGTTAAATTATTTAATTTTATAGCATCGACCATTTTAATTTTTGTCTCAATTGTTATATTAGGATCAAAAAATTCCAATGCTGCTGTTTCAGGTGCTAAATACCATAAATGTCCACATAGTTTTCTTAAAGTTGATTGAGAAATGTTTTTATATATTTTTTCATAACTGAAAAGACTTTTCAAAAATTGTAAGTCTTGAAATGGAGCTAAAGCGGCAATAGGTGCACAAAATCAAGCTTTAATATATAATCGTATAAGAAATATACAAATTGTATGGATTGATTTTTCTTCATAATTTTTTAATTTAAATTGTTTACGGAACATAAATATTTTTAATGAATATATGGCCTTGGACATCCAACGAGCATGATGCATTGCACCAGGACATTGAAAAGATATGCCACGAGTAGGGGCACCACCAAGAAATATCACAGCTAATTCCAATAATTCTCTGTAATCGTCTCTGTTATGATATTTGCGTAATTGGTCCATATAAAAAAATAACATAACATTAGTTACATCATTTAATATTCCACTGACAATTATATCTTCTATTCTGGTGTTATAATTATTAACATTAAGTTTTGGCCAAAATTGTTTATAAATTTGAATATCTGGACCAGATGTAACTTCAAAATTTACTTCAAATGCAGATCTAAGTATAATTTCGTAAATGTGATGCCTGCAAGGAAAGTATAAAATATCACGTTCTAATAGCTGTTCCAAAATTATACATACTCCTTTTAGACGACCTGTATTCGAAGCCTTTATATCACAACATAAAGCTTGTATATTATCAATAAGGCCCCATTCTTCAAGTGCTTTAAACACTGCTTCCGCTTAATTTTGACCAGTTCTGGATATAAGCTTAGGAACACTTAACAACTTTTCAGAATTTTTAAAAGAAACAATTACTGGTAAACGATCAACAAGCTCTTTTCCTGTTAAATCTGGGAGCAGCTTACCATCCCAATGAACAACAACTGGACCTACTTCTGATGAATTGAATTCATTTCGAAGTTGATCTGCTTTGTCCTTACGTAAACACTGGCGTATTTGATTAATAGATGTCCGGTTTAAAATTAAATCACTTACACGTATACCTAATGCTTCTACAGTATAATTAGTATAATTAAATAGTTAATATATGAACTGCATCGCGATCACTTATTTTACACCTATCCAATGCAATTGCAAGTTTCGGTGTTATACAATTTTTATTACCTCTATTTTTAAATGTAGGAAGGTCTGGGAATTCGGAAGTTTTTTCTGCATCTAACGGTTTGTTTGAAATATTTTCTCTAGCATCAGAATCGCTATCAGAACTTGGAGAACAAATAAATTATAAAAATATAACAATATTTTAGATATTTTGTAATATTGTTACGCTTTTTAAAAACTTGCATGTTTCTTAATCAGTTATATTAATAAATATTACATTAATCAAAAAACTACATAGAACAAAAGTTATAGTCAATTTAATTTACTATAAATAATGTCAGAAATTTATATTTTTAAGAAATGATAACAACGAGATAGCAGTCAATCAATTAAAAAAAACTGTGGTTACTTGAACAGAACCATATATTTGAACTTTGAGGGCTGGGGGGCACGGGTTAAACTTAATCTATCGATATGAAATTTTGTATACTTCATTTATATACATATTTAAACCAATTTAGGGGGTAAGACTGAAAAAAATCCAATATCAAAAAATAAGGCCACCCTAGTGTAAGGGACTATAAAAACTATAGCATGCAAATGGGAAAAAACAGATAACACACTTAATAATGTTCATAAAATGAAGGTTAGAATTTAATAAAAACAAAGAAAATTAGTTTAAGAAAACAACATTGGAAGACATTGGAAGGTAATTGGCAAGATATCACAATATTATAGGAATGGATGACTGGCAAAAATTGTGAATATGGGTGAAATAAGATATTTTTTAAACTTAAAAATGGAGTCTATAGCCATTTAATTTGCAACCAACTATTTTTCATGAGACATTTTTGTCATTTAATAACTAGTCATTGTTTTTCAATATACTTTGCTGGACCATCACTATGATACATAGATCTATTAGGAGCAATTTATATTAAATATACTTCCCATTATAATTTTTTGATAAAATATACCTCAATGGGATTTGGTGATTTTAACAACAAACTTGGCTGGGAACCGCAAACAAGTCCCCTCCATAGTTTGATACTATAAAATCCTTTTCAAAAGAACTAGCTCGGAATGACTATCAAACTTTAGATATGACCCCTAAATCACCTTTAGGTTACTCTAACAAAATGTAGTATTTTGCTCCAAAGTTGTTCAGTAGATCTAGGTGGTAAGTAGGAGGTATATAAGTCATGTCATTTTGATTTTGAATCTGGGAGCAAGGTTAACAATTTCGACCCCTCCTCATTTATTTAATTATTTACATGATAATTTAGATTTTAGACAGTAAAAAATAGTGTGATTATTATTATTAAAAATATTTATTTAATGAATTAAGGATTTATTTATTAGATTATTAATAAGTATTTATATGACTTTAAAATTTAATTTTTCTAGATTTGATAGAAGCAAAATCTATAATGTTTTCAAAGTTTTTTCAAGTCTCTTTCAAAAAACTTTTGAGTTATTTTATTCTCAATTGATAATATTGTAGTTTGTCAATCTTTCTTAGGACATGGTTGACCATAAATACATCTTAATTGATTTTAATTTACTAAGATATCATTCATCAAATTCTACAGTAACCGACATGATATTTTGACAGAGCTGATCTTTATGTGAAATGTCCAGAATAGAATCAAAAATTATAGAAAAATATTTTGGTTTTTTTATTTTATAAATTATTTCTTTTCTTACTTTTGAACCTAGCAAATTTAAAACTTCATTTTGAATTTTATTTGATAAATATATAGTTTGACCATGATATTTTAAATGACTTGATAAAACAAAATCATAATTGATAATAAGAGATAACTAATTAAATTCAAGAATATTCCATAGCCAGGCTTTTTCTTCTTATTTTCCAAAAATTTGAGAGGTGATTTTAACCTTGACCTCTTTGGTTTGTTTGTTTAACATAGTAGTTATCATTTTTTATATTCAAAATAGTTACATGGGGAAGAGTGGTGCTTCAGTAAATAATAACCCACTGAACCCTTCCTTTCAACTATCACTACATTTGGTGAAGGTGACCTAGAAAAGTGTTTAGCGTTAAAACCACTATTCTATCAGAAAATCTCCCAGTGATATTCTTGATCCGAAAATCAGAAGGAGTACATTTAATATAAAATTCTCCTAATTGTATCATAATAAATATTGAAAAACAATTGCACTAGTTTTTAAAGGAAAAATGTCCTGGCGAATAGTCGGCAAAACGATTGCAACACAAAGCTCTGCTTCATTAAAACTGAACTAGCCTATGAAAAGAATTTGGTATTTTTTGATGGTTGATTAGATAATGGGCAAGTATAATTGGAAAGTTGCATTACTGCATTTAAGTATAAATAAGAAAAATATGTAAATAAAAATTGTAGATATAAAAATAAAAAATAAATAAATTAATGAATGCACCTGAAGTATTATAATTAGTGTATTATACAATCGGTTTCAAATTAAAAATTCATCATTAGGTATATCACAATTAAAATATAAAACGACTGCATATAAAAAATTAAATGAAGGAATACGTAAAAAAAAAAATATACAAATTTATTATTTTACTTAGAAATAATTTATTTTAATAGGAGAGATTATTTTAAATGGGTTATTATAAGACATAGATATGCTAAGAAATATAAATTATTTGGTTATTATTAATTATTTAACTATTTATGGAATTTTGAATATAGGTTGCCATTTGAAAATCAAAAGTAGGTAGTGGTTTACCCCCCAAAAATAAGGGTGACAATAAATAACATAAATAAAAAATTGTAGAGCAGCTTGTTTCTTAAATGTTCCAGAAAACAAATTTTAGAAAAAGTTAATACTTTTCGAGGTAATAAGTGTACCCAATTAAATGGATCACCTGGCATACTAAGTATTTGGTACAATTAATATGAAATGAAAATTACTTTTTATTTTTTTAGAGATTATTTGATTGAAGTATTGCCAATATTAGACTGACCATTATTTAGATGTGAAAATAGCTGTAAACTTTGATTGGTTTTAATTTATTCACTACATTGAGTGTAGTAGGTCTGTGAATGATCGAATGCTACTGAGACAAGACTATTGTTATTTTCTCTATAAAAAATTTAAAACACATTTTAACAATATTTATAATAATAAATAGATAATAAAATATACTCAGCAGCTATATCTGATAATTTGGAATTCCGTACATGTTAATAGTCGCTAATAATATGCATTTGTGAAGGTCCAAGGCGAAGGGTCCAAAAGAATAGCCGCTGGATAAGTTTATTGATTGTAGCTTAAACAAATTATTTTAATCATAATTAAACAACTACCAAACAAAACTTAATAAAACTTACAGTTTCAAAAACAACAATAGTTTCTAAGCCTGATATAAAACTCATAAGCCTAGATGTGGCAACAAATAATTCATGGTAGTCTTTAGGTCTTAGTGGTTCTGAACTGAAAATATTATAATATTACATCACAAAATATCACTTTATGTTTATATTATAATAGTACATTTTTACTATCTTTGAATAAGATATAAAAGATATAAGATTCAAAATTACAAGACTCATATTACAATTTATTTGAATACATAGCTACCTCAACTATATACACTATTAACTAAATAATATTATAAGATATTACATAGTGAGTATATTTGTTCAAAAGTAAACTATATAAAATAATAATAACACAACAATACTGTGTTAATAAATTATTATTTAATACTGTAATGTTTTAATTGATAATATTACTTGAACTCACATAACTCTGAAAAATGTATAGGATGTCAATGTCTTTTGTCTCTGCGGCAATTGTATAACCAATTATTTTGTCCGTTTGGGTCAATTGGAAATTAAAAAACACGAACAGAAACTAAAAAAAAAAAATATAAAATGTGAATTTTTACCATTTACTCATCGTTATATTCATACTTCATAACTTAAAATTGTACAAAGTAATTAATAATTAATATAAGTACCTATGAAAAAATACTTGGCCTATGTTATAGACATATAATAGTTATACCTAGTACATTAATAAATCCTTACAGACATTTTAAACCACTTTAAATAAACAAATAATATAGATTTTTAAAATATAAATTTTTCTTTATAATTTAATATTTAAGAAACAATGATAAGCGAAAACTGATAACACCAACCGATCACAGTAAGTTAAAAGTTTAATTTTCATCAAAATCAATAATTTCGATTACATACTGAGTGAGACTGTTCAGGTGCGTGTACAAAAAAATATTTCAGGGGGGGGAGAGTTTAAGGTTGTACACTTTCATACACTTATAACAAAGAAGTTTACATAATTTCAATTATAGGATTATTTAATATTTTTCTAGTGAATACAGCCTAAATGATAACGTAATTACCTTCCTACACAGATATGTATAATAAACATTATACATATCTGTGCTACCTACTTAATTTATATTATTGTGATGATAATAATTGATAATGCGGACTATTCACATAGATAATACATACATGTATTATTATTATGACTATTCGATATCGCCGTATCAGTTATATTAGTTATTTATTTATTTATTTATTATAAAATACGGACAAGCCCATTTACATTGAGTGTTCTAATATTTAACATATATTTTACTTATAGTAGACCCATTAACTATTAAAGTTATATATTAATTTTCTAAAAGCAGAAAATTCACAAAAAATTAGATATGACAATAACAACAATATATACCTACCTAATATCTAGTAATAAAATTAAAATAAAACCAAAATTGTATTTGTCTTCCTCATTGATAAAAACCATTATTGAGCCTATTAAAAATCTACTTTCATCATAATTTTCATCAAATATCGATGGTGGGAAGAGGGATTTGAACTCCTAAAACCAAAATTCATAATATTTTGCCGCTTGTCAGTTTTAATCGATAAGTGATAATATTGATAACAAACGAATGATTATACCACAGGTGACAGACCATTATTTACAATACTTACATATTACTGTATTATTGGCTTTATTACTGATTTTTTAATAAATCTTCAAAACAAAATTTTGTACTGGAAAATGTTTTACAAGACAGTGATTACTAGATTATATATAATAATATACAAGATTATATATTAACAAAAATAGCTAAGTGGTTAGAAACTAAATCATCCACAAAAGCCAAAATTTTCAAATGTGCTTAGAAAACTGGAAATTTATTATAACTATATTTACTTCAGTAAATATTTTTAATGTTACACTATCTATCAGTGAGTTCCTTCAAGAAACTGAGGAAGATTTTATAAATTATCAACTTATATACAATCTGCTTTAGATACTTTAACAGACGAATGCATAAATTGTGATCAGTATTTCAATATATTAACAATGATGTTAAAGAATTAGTAACCCATAATAATCTCAATGTCAAACCCACAGACCCAAATAATTTCCCAGAAGAATATTATCATAGGTCACTATATATACCATTACTTGGTAATATTATTGAAGGCTAAAAATGTTTTAGCTACATTAATTATAAGTGTAGCTTTTGTTGAGCATAGCTTTTCAATATTGAGAAGGTACCTAATAATAGGTATTGTTTGATTTGATATTAGAAAATATTTTTTTAATTTTTCAAATCCAATTTGATAACTTTGATACTTAATAAAAAAATCAGAAAGACTAGTACTAGATGAAAATAATGTTTTTTTACCAAATGCGCATTGATATTCTAATTTAATTAGAAATTCATTGTAATGATAAAATTATAAAGTTTTAGCAAAATTATATAATTTTTCATAGTCTAAAAATTGTTTTCTTTCTGGTTATTCACACATTTAATCTCTGTCCTAATATTCTTGTAAATCTGAAAATCTGGTTAGGCACAGGCTTACCTACTGTCTGTCCCTACTAAAAATATGGTTTGGATAAATTATGTAATTAAAAATCCTGAAATTGATATTTCAGTTTGTATTCTTAGAAAAAAATTTATATTGTAACTTTCAATATAAGTTTTCGTCAACTATATTAATTTTTATCCCTAGTCTTTAACAATTATAATGTATTTATAAGGTATAAATGTATTAAAATTGATTATGTTCATATAGCATAATTTACTAACAATCTGGTAATGAATATTGAAATTAATTTCATAAATTTATATAAGGATTTATTGGTGTCATAAAATAAAAAAATCGGTTTACATAACTAAGTTAATTATGTAATGTGCTTATTTTAATTTTATATTACCATGCTAGCAGACACTAATACATTCATTTTTTAATTAATAATAATTAGATAACATTAGTTAATATTCATTAAATAATAATAATTTAATAACAAAATTGTATTTATTTTAGGTAAGATAAAATATAAATTCATTCATATACTGCAGTGTGTGCAAGCTGATGACATCATTTTTGAAAATATTCTGGCTAATGTCAACAAACCTAACGAACACATACAATCAGAAAGTTTAGACAATTTAACTTCTGGTAATGTTAATTATAAAATATTTTCAGATGATATTTTGCTATAAAAACAAACTAATAATGGTAAATAATTAAACAATTATGTTTGTAAAATTTTAATATAATTTCTATTAGTATTCTGTACAGCATTGCTGTATCAATATTAAGTTCTGGATGAATTTAAAAGTTAAGTCAATAGTAAAAACATTGTAAGTTNTTATCTTATATAATAATAATAATAATATATTTATTTCACCTAACAATGATTAAACACAAAAAACACTAATATTGGTCTATTCACCATAGTCAATGGCTGTGCTGTAGGTAGGAGTTATAAATATAATAAAATGCAATAAAGAGAAAAACAACATAGTTACTTAAACAAATTTTTAACAATTAAACTTATAACATAACTTAAAATAAAAACTAACAAAATCTAAATAATTTATGTAAATAAAGTAAAATTATTACCAAGAAAGTCTAATTTAATTTTTGAAGAAACACAAATTTTACAAAATACAAATAAAACAATATGATAAGATTAATCATCAAAAAATGACTTCCCTAAGTACATCCCCACATTAATTTACTTTCAGAAAAGGTGTTACACTTAAAAATCTGAGCAAGTTTTCTGGTAGAAAAATCACGCATATTAAAAAAAAAAAAAAAAACATCTTTGTAAAACTCTAAGAACTGCTTCTCTTTACTCAGAATCTAAAAGAAAAAATAAATATATGAATGAATGTGTCGCCTACAGTATTCTAAGTGTTAAAAATTCATCATCACGCATAACACAGTCAAAATGTAAAACGCGACGGAATATAAAAAATTAAATAAAGGAACACATAGAAAACAATTATACAAATTGGTCGTTTTACATAGAAATAATTTATTCGCTGTTAACATTTTGACTGTGAGATACCTGATGATGAATTTTTAATTCGAGACCGTCGTATAATACACCTATTAAAATATTCCAGACGACGCATTCATTCATTTATTTATTTTTAGTTTTTACTAATAAGTTTATTTATTTTTTTAAATTTTTTTATACTGTTAACAACAATTAACGCAGTTAAGTTAGCCCTCGGATGTTGTAGATAATACTATAAAAAAAAAATAATAATATAACTTTTAATTAGTGAGAAACAATTAAGCAGGTATGTAGATAATTTTGTTTTCACTTATTTCTCTTAAGTATCAAAGTACCTAACAATATTTTGTATAGGTTTTTCATCATTGTTTTCGTATAGTTTTGTACACTAAAATAACTATTATTACTATTATTATAACTATTATTCATTATGGCAGAAAAAAGATGAAAGAAAAAAAACAGTACCATACAGTAAGTATGCAATCCACAATTCATAAAATTCTAATTTTGGTTGACCTCTGGCCCTTTTAATACTCTACTAGATTAAAAATTTTATTTTACTCCCAATATTTCCATAGTTATCTAAATATTACTTTTTAGATTCTGAGTTTAATGAAAAATGTATTGGTTTTACAAAGACATTTATATTATTTTTTTTTATGTGAACACTTTTACAACCAGAAATTTTACAGCCTGTGACTGATTAATACATTTTTAATTATTTATACATATTATTTAAATATATATATATATATATATATGACTTTTACATCAAGCTGCATTCTTTAAATAATACATAAACCTATAACATTCCCTCCAAAATATTGTTCTCTACACATTTCATTATAGGTAAAATCAAAATTAGCTAAATTTAACTTTTACTTATTCTTCGTAAGCATTGTGTTGGCATGTTACCCAGAAGTTGGACTGAAACTCAAAATTGAACACATATATACAATACTGATGTACAGCCATACTGCACATGATAAAAAAAGTACATATTCAATACTAGTTTGATTGATCATAATAAATTAAAAGATAGTAATATAGTACATAGATAGCTAGAAAATAACAGGAAATTACCTAAATAATATGGGCCTTGAAAAACTTAATAATTGGCAATATTGACTATGGAACTATCAAAGTGAATTTGTGGTTAAGTTTAAATTGTGATGATTTAATTGATGCATTTATTGAGTAAAAAGTAGAAGAAAAATTATAAAATTGTAAATACAAATAATTTGTAAATTGCAAAACAAGATATTAAGTACAATTTAGTTTATATTTTTATCTTTTTTTATATAGAAGTTAATAAAGGTAACAAATTGTATATTCAATTATACTTAATAATTTTAGCAGAGATGAGGTGAAAAAGCCTAAAACCTAAATAACCACCGAGTTGAGAACACTCCCCAAAATTGAAAAACATAACTACTTCTAATGCAGTTATACTAATTTTATAAATCATTTTTCAAAATAA